TTCCTGACTAAAGTGCATGCTTTTTATGAATGTTTCAGAAGGACAGTTGCTAAGTTGAATGATTCTTGACAAGTGAGGCAGCAAATGCTGGCAGTTTAATGAGCTGCAAGTTTCTGAGCACCTCTTTAGGGGGCTGACACTTTCCCACAGAGCGTTTTACATGGCCTCGGCTCTCCCACAATGGCTGACAGCACCATGACCAATCACCACTTTCACTTTACTCATCCACACGCGACCTCACCACAATTTTTCACTGTGCAGATGAACTTTAGGAACCATTTCACATTGAAAAGGCCTGGGCAAGGGTCAGTTGCCCTTTTGTATAGCCATAAAGCAATACTCTATGTGCCAGTCTTTTCTCCTGTCTCACATTCCAAGAGATTTTCTGGACACCATTTAAAGCACTTGACTGAAAAATAAAGCAGTGAATGAAACTGACTTTTATAGACTCATTCTAGCTCATCTTCCCATATAACCCTGTCTACCTGAAAAGGGATTTAGTGGATGAGCTGAGTGTATACAGGGACTTGCTGAATACATAGGCCCATTATCAACTGTGGGGATTGTTTATTAACCAGGACTGATACACTGCTATTTTGGAAGTGACCTATTAATTGTCCATTTAACTAGAATGTATTGAATTGTAATGAAAAAATGGAAACCATGACTAAAGCTTTTACTTGCTCCTTCAAGGTGGTCTCTGCCATGAAGGCAAATGAAGATTGTTCCACAGATTAAGAGGACATTTATCACTATATATTAGGATACAAAGGAAAGACTTAACAAAAATCAAATCAGTAACATAGGAAATAGTTGGTCACATTTGTGTCAGCAGAACACTAAACCTGCTGCATGTTCAGAGTGATGAGCTGCAAACTGACATATTTAATTTTGCTAAAATTGCTGAAATGTATATTTATACTGCCTGTCCTGCTGCACTGAAAAATCCTATAATCCACACACTGAAATTTTGTTTTTGTGTAACAGTTGGAATGCATTTTAGAATATGGCTTATTTTTAAAGAAATTCTCTAGGCTACTCGGTGGTAGGTTTCAGATTTTTTGCTCTGTAGGCTGTTTGTTATTGCTTCTGAGCATTCTGCTCATCATTAAATTTTGTTCAGTTAATCATTTCAAATTCATCATATATTGTGCCTTAGAGTGTAGAGATGCCTCACTATTAAATTCGTCTAATATAGGTGTTACGCTGGACCCTACATACTGCCTGTACAGGAATTAATTTGTGCCTTGAGGCTCCAGCAGGAGGTTGTTTCCTTGCTGACTGACTGTTAACAACCAGCCAGGCAAGACAAATTTTAAGGGGTCACATAATTTGGCATCCTCTGTCCTTGGCTGACAACTCCATTGTGGAATGGAGGCTGGGAGGCGAGGACCAGCCCTGTTACGCCTCTTCCCTTGCTGGTGTCTCTCATCCCACAGTGGGGGTGAGAGATGGTACCAGTTCTGCTGCTGCCAGACCTTACCTTCCAGTAAACCTGAGAATGGCTGACAATTCAGCAGAAACTTCTCAGAGGCTACCTGGAAAAAGGTACCTAAATTCACTAAGTTTGAGCAAGAAAGACAGAAAACAGGCTTGAGGAAGGAGGGCTCCCAGCTTGCTCCCAGTTTTGTAAGCATGATTGGAGCATACAGTGGGGTTATGAAGGGGCTCTGAAGTCCCCAGAGAAATATCAACCTTTCCCTTTGTGAAAACCTCCATTTTGGTATTTTGACTTTTGTTCTGCAGATTGTTTGTTTTGGTTTGGATGAAGTCTGACTGTGTATCACAGTGTAATAAATATCAGGTCATTAACCAGTAGGTTATGATTTTTTGTATATGGTCTTACATATAATTTTGAAAATTGAAATACATCTGTATAAATTAAGGATTATTTATACTGTAACATTGCAAATCATAATAATTATTTTTACCACACACTCTTATGAGGGACAAATAAAAATATCTTGATTTCTTGATGTGAAAAGTTCAAGAAAAGAATTGACAGAATGCAATCAGTAATGTTTCACAGGGATAGTCTTATTTTAGGGAATAATCACTGTACACTTGCTCAGCTTCTGATGCTCTGCTCTACTGGTAAGAGCTGGAAGCAGGATGCAGGGGCAGTGTATGTAATATCAAATCAGTAACACATGGCTACAAAGTATTTAGTCAACTTTGCAAGGCATGCAGATACACACTTCAGTTTCTTTTCATTATATTACAATATCCTCAGTATATGTGTGCTTGTTTTTTTGTGGGTGTTTAAAGATACATGTACCCATGTGTATATATGTATAATATACAGAAATTGAAATGTAGTGTAGCCCCAAGGACAGTTTGTGGAAGCTGCATCTGGATTTCATTAGTATTTTCAAGAGCACTATATCAATTGAAAAAATGTATTTAATTTTCCCCCCACCCCATTATAGCTGGTTAGAATAGATAGACTTCTACACAAAAAATGTTTAGTATTTTAGAAAAGCTGCTTTTCAGGGGAAATTTGCTTTTGGCTTTGATATGAAAATGATCAGATCCTTTGTAGAAATTGAGCAGCAGCGCACCTTTGCAGCTGCTGTAACTAAAAGCTGGAAGGGCAATCTAGGCCCATGGACTTGAGAAGGTGGACAGCAGGAGGGCAGCTTGCATCTGAATTGCCACTCCTACAGCAAGATTGTAAGTGTCAGTGGCTGTACAGCCATGGCACAATTTCTGAGCCGAAGTGCACTGTTTCCTGGCCTGCTTGCATCTCCCTAATTATCACATGCCGTGCATGATGACAGGCTCTGTTCAACTGATCCCTGCTCCTGCTTCCTGATTATTTGAGGAAGCTGGGTACACTGGAAGCATAGGAAGCCTCACTAAGGATTGCTTCTCATATACCATGTATTTCTAAGGGAAAGAGAGCATGGGAAAGCACTATGGATTTAGGTTTTATTGGGTGTGAGGAACATGAGAGATGTATCTTGGGGTTTCTGTGCTCTTTGTATGTATATTTCTACTTCTTCACTTCAGCTCTGTCCTCCAGCTTTGAGGCTGTTTTCCAGGGTAGGGCTCCCTCTAGGTGTGCATTGAGGGGATGAGATTGGATTCACTGAAAACTGCCCTCCCAGGGCGTGTTATGAGATGTCAAAGGATCAAAATTCAGGCTGAAAGGAGTAAGTCCAAGTACTCTCCAAATGCTCTAATATAGAAATTGCTGTAGTTTTCAGAATAACTAAGTGAATGACCAGGAATTTTCTGAGAAATAGACTACTCTGAAACCCTTTCATTAGTAAAAAAAAAAAAAAATATATATATATATATATATATATATATATATATGGATATAGATATAGATATATATCTATAGGAAAGCCTATTTAGTTTATTTGAATCATTATTACAGACCACTTTTCTTTCATTTTACAGTCCACATAAGGAGTAAATAAACTCCTAGGAAAACTTGTTGCATTTTATTCAGTGGTAATGTCAGGCAAAGAAAAATGAAGTTCCTCCCTGACTATATTTGAATTCTGCAGTATTATAGGCTCTGTCCCAATATTCCTCTATGAACTCATCTCATTTTCTTTGTACCATGTCAGGGGGAAACTCCTGACTACTGACAACACCTCTAGATCCAAGTGAGGATTTAATCCTTAATGAACATGATTGAAGCATTACAACACACTTGTAACACCAACAAATCAAAAGTGGGACAAGAGTCTGCAAACATTATAATAAACAGCACTTAATATTTCTCTGATGCATGATAGATGTCATGGGAAATTCTCATCTATTTCTACTAGGAGAGGAAAGTATGCTGCCACTTCTAACCCAGGAGTCTAACTCCAAATCCCGGAGAGGCATATTAAGAAGAGCTGTCTTTTCTGAAGACCAGAGGAAAGCTTTGGAGAAAATGTTCCAGAAGCAGAAGTATATTAGTAAAACAGACAGGAAGAAACTGGCCCTTAACCTGGGTCTAAAGGAGTCTCAGGTAAGGAATGTCCTTTTGGGGAAAATCTTTAAAATAGCTTTGAAGGAGGAAAATTGAACAGTGCAGGGGCAGCCTTGAGCTCTTTTACCTGCTTTTTTATCTGCAAAGACCTCAGTAAATCAATGGCAGTTTAAACCAGGGAATACTTAAACAGTTTCCTGGTTTATTTTCTGTATGTATACCTTCAAAAATTGATGTCTCAATTTTCACACAAAGAAACATGACCTCTGTGTTTCATTTCCAACTCTCTTTTATTGCTGTCCAACAGAGCCCCCTTGGAAGCTTTGGGGTAGGAAACTGCTCCATCTCACTGCTCTAAAGGCAGTATATAAAACATGAGAGCATAGATCATTCCATCATTCCACTGAGCACCCTTTGCACTCAGATATGAACAACTAGGGACAATGCAGTCAACAGCACTTCCCCTGGAACTGTTCTGCCCAAAGAGACAGGCAACCATTCCTATGGAAAGACACTTGACTGCACAAAGAAAGAGATTTTCACAGCTGAGAGATACCATAAGAAGAAAAACTTTGCAGGGGGACCTTCTAAAACAATCCCATTTTACTTGCCAATTCACATTTAATGGAATTTTTTGCATGAGTCTGAGTTGGTCTACTGCAGGATTTTAGAGTTTAGCTGCGGGCGTAATGACTCCCGTGAGTTGTTCTGACTGAACAGCTACATTAATAGTGGTGCTGAGGAGCAGTAGCCCAATCTGGAATCTTCAGGGCCTCACCTATCTGCAGATAAAAACAAAGGAAAAATGCTTGGCTTGAAGAGCACAAAATCTGAAGGAAACTGGGAGGAAAAAAAAGTTTGTGAGGTCATGTAGAACAGAAAATTAACATGGTCTGTGGTGGTTCCTTGCAACTTGATGACTCTGATGCTGTTGCAAACACTGCAACAATAAACACAAAAATAAGTAGAGTGTGGTGTTTCTCAGTGTGATGTACAGAACTGTAATCTCTGCAGGAAAACTATTTCAATGGAAATGTGCACTCACCAGTGTGCTGCCTAAAAAAATTCCCAAACTGTAGTCAAATTCCTAGTGTTACAGTTATTTCCTCAAGATTATTTTCTGTGCTCATGTTATTCAAGAGAATTTGGGTGTGTAAAAAATAATGCAATAGTACACAGATAACCACTACTACTATGAAAATATAATTTCATGACAGTGACAGACCAGATGACATTAATCTCTTTTTTTTATTCCCCTCATGAAAGGAAAAGAAATTGCTGTGAAGCTTACTTCTTCAATTTTCTGACCAGTTGTGTTGGAGGAACAGTACATGTCATCTAAGACAATGATTCTCAAACATTTGAAACCATAGCCTTTTTGTCTTCATATCCAGTATCTAGATATAAATACTAGAATACTAGATCTAAATGCAAATGTTGAAGGGAAAAGAGAACACAATCTGAATAATTTGATTGATCACCCTCACCTTTCTTTTCCTGTAAAACCAGTTTCTGGTTTTATATTACCCCAAGCTTTCCCCAGCATTTCATAAATGCCTTTGAATTCTTGTGTTTAAGAACTCAAAGTTCTTGAAAAGTTGATTTTATCTTAAAATCACATGGGTTCTAGGTAACTTCTGGAAAACTGTAGTCAGGTAAACAAAATGTCTTTAAATTTTCAATTCCATCTCCTATGTCACAACATGCTTTTTGAAGCTGTATGGCCAAGCTGATTTTAGCTATGTTTGTGAAAGGGACTGTCATGATTCTTACAGCCTCTGTTTAATGAAGGCCCTCACACCACCAGTAATATCACTTAGTTTTCCTTAATGATGTTACTAATTTTCTCTGGGAATTTTCTTCTGTCTAGAAGGATGTTGCTTTTAGGAAACTCTTCTATCCCTAGCTATTGGGCTGTCCATTTTTCAGTCTAAGCTAAGTAATCATCTGTTGTAGGTGGTGAAAGTCAAGGAGAATATTTGTTCTAGATGTAGTAAATAGTGATGGGAAAGTTCTCAGATAGTGTCAGTCAGCTGGCTTTACTGGTTCTCTACTGTAACAGCAGATAAGGAAGGATGTGGAACTAGGAGGATAGAAAGGAAAAAACCACTTGTTACGGCAAAGTTGTTTAAAGCAAAGAATGATAATAAACTCTTGTTAACTTGCAAACAGGTGAAAATCTGGTTTCAGAATCGAAGGATGAAATGGCGAAACTCCAAAGAAAAAGAAGTGCTTTCTAACAGGTGCCTCCAAGAAGACGGTCTTCAGGAGAACTACCTCTCACGATCCACCATTAATTTTACCTCTCCATGCCCATCTGTGTGGGAAATGTCTGATGAGCGGGCAAGTCCAAGGTGGAGGGAGAATTCTCCAGGAAATTCTGAAAGACTGACTACTACACAACCACCTCCAAGAGCAAATTCATTGCAGAGCCCACTCTATTTGTATCCTGACCAAGACACTGCAAACAAGGCATCATCAAGTGTAAGGGAGTAGGGGCAGTTTGTAAATGGAGTGGGAGAGTGCAGGCTTCAAATGAGCAGTCTTTTAAGATTAACAGTATTTGAACATTGTAAAGCTAACTCGTTTATGCTTCAAAAATATGCTAACGCCATTAAAATTACAAACAACTAATGACTAAAGAAGTATTCTTCAATATTCAGTCTTTTCTTGTGTCTTTTCCAGTCTTGTACTGACCTTAAAAGTAAAGTAGGAACTGATGGTAAGTAAAATGAAGAACATGAAGCTGAATTTGTGCTCTGATTTATACATCTGCACTGTATGTGATGCTCGTTAAAAACACACTAATAGAGAATCACTTTTATCTCTCATTGTAGTCAGACCAATTTATTTCTTCTGTGCATGAGATAAAAAGGAATCTGTTTCTCTCAAGAAAGTTAGTGGTTTTGGGTTCTTTTAGAAATTCATTAAATAATACAATAGATTCATATGGACAAATACAATCCTTTTGGTGTGTTTTCTCCATCTGTCCTCACCTATGTCAGTATTCAATTAGCTTTAAATAGCATGGTCACAGGTCAACTGACAACCTCGGTAAAGTATGCAATATTAAAAGGCAACTAACCTAGTCTATAAAATATTCCATGTTTAAGTAACTCTGATAAGAGTGTGTACTGGAAAGTGCAGTTCACTGCCTTTGGTCTTTCTGTCCATGCATGAATCTACTAGCATTCTTAGCTTTGAAGTGCAGTGTCTTTTTTTTAGCTGTTGGTAGAATTTTCTGTATTTCAAAACTGTAATGACAATGTACAGAATTGTAGCCAAAAATGCACTAAGCAACAGACCTATAACTGGAAAAATGGCTACTACAGCAAGTTCAGAAAATTACTTATGGAGATTATGTACCATAGTAGCATTATTCCTGGCTTACTGCTGTTTAAACTGGTGCCAGTAAGGACACATTAGCATATATCTGTATCAAAGACAGGACAGTATTCTATGTAATACAATAAGCCTCAAATATTATTAAAGCTACTTAAAATTACTTGCTTGCTTAATCCAATTTAAGGAGGTCAATCTATGAATTTAGATGTATTTTTCTTTGTTTTATTTGCAAATCTTTATAGCTCAAAATGGGAGCATAGCATTCATTTTCTTTTTCATGCATTTATGGATGCCTTTGTTGAGGAGACTAAAGATATTTTATGTTACAGGCAAAACCTTATGGAGAACATTATGGTTTTATAGGGACTATTTTCTTTCTGGCATTCATACATTTTATAGGCAAAAGATTATGATAATCTAGTCTGGCTTTCCTTATCATATATGCCTTGAATGTATCTGATTATTCTTGCCTTGGGCTCCAAATATTTTGAACTGTACTGTACATCTTCCAAAAAGCCGTGCAATTATTGTGGAGTAAGTTGTTATTTAATGTTTTACATTTTGATAGATGATTTATTATTCCCCTTGTTACATTGTATTATCTGTGAGGTGAAGTTTGGATACATTTGTAGCTAAAAAACTTGAGATTGAAATGATGATGCTCGTATAATAATATTTATGCACGATAAGGTAAGTTTTGTACCTTGTCTTGTGCATGTACTGCTGTCTCAGTGGCCAAATATGCAATCCCAGTCTTGCATTATGTGGCATTCCTTGCCTGTGATTTCCTCTGCTTGATTTAAAGAAAAAAACAAATTACAGAAGAATTAAGAAGTTATATCTTCCTGCATTTACAATTCTTCTTCAGTGTGAGCTGCCTCAATACCTACCCTCAGAAAGTCCCTGAACACATGTTATATCCTGGTCAGTAATGAGAGGAGTTTATTCCTGTCTTGCAATTGAAATCCCAGAACCAACTCAGATTCTGTGAGAAACATTTGGTGGGGGGGAGGACAGATTGTGTACACATTGGGATGAATTTGGTGTTGAAGTCCTGCCCTGTTTGACCAGCTCCTGCCTGAAGAACCAGCTAGGCTTAGTAGCCCATATGGTTGTGAAATTGCATTGCAAGTATTTGCAGAGTACCATCTAATGATCACGTGTTGGTATATACATGTGCATCTATTCATCAGTGCTTCCCATTTTGAATGAAATCTGTATGGTGGGTTTTTTTTTAATTCCCCCTTTAATGGAAAAGGGAGCCTTCCCATCTGCTCATATTGTTTTACTGTAAGTCAATGAAGTCTCAGTGCTAGAAGCAACATTTTTGGAGATGGGAGATGTGGTTCAGAGTGCTCCTTGGGAAATTCTTTCAGTTCATGGTGTTGCAAGCACAAAATGTGAACTACTGTCAAAACTGTGAGCTGATGTGCTGAACAGAATACATCTGAAGGGTGTCTCACTGAGGCAAAGAACAAGCAAGGCTCATGCAGTGCTGGTTTCACAGTTGTAATAATACAGGTGTTTTAAATTCAACAAGTTCTGTGGCCTGTTAAAACTTAAATCATTTCAAGGTTCTCCAAATCTCTTAACACCTCCCATCAGTATTCTTACTCCACAGCTAGAATGAAGTTTCAGTATGCCAGATAAAAGATTCTTTATCTGAAAATGCTGACCAAGCTTTTAAAAAAATCCTAAAAGTATACATGCAAATCTTGAATTATATCTAAAATAGTCTGATTGAGCTAAGATTTAGGCCCATGAAACACACAATTTTGATTCCTCTGATTTTGTGCTAAATAAAGGAGAAATTTCCCTTCAGTCCATACTGTGAAAACTTGGTAAATGAGAAATAGCACCCTGTACAAATACAAAAATATTTTTACAGTGCCAGTCTTTTCTTTATGAAGGATCAATTGGTATTTAGTTTCTTCAAATATGGTATGCATACTAGTTCTAGAAAGAACGAAGAGAGCACAAGTATGCAAAGTGCCCAGCAGGTATTTGAACTGCTTCATAACAGACACAGTACAGAGGTGAAAGGTGTAGTGCAGCTGGTATAAGGGAGTGACACAGTAGATACCAGTGACACCTAGGTTAAAACTTGGACTGATGGATGATCTTGCAGCATGGTTGTAGGGTATCTGAGGTATTTCCTATGTGTAGCATTTTGAGACTACAGTTACTGGCTGTGGAGTATCATGATGGGCATTTATTGAGATCCAGGGACTGGGTAGAGTTCGGGTACCTCAAATTGCAAACTACAGTCAAAAACCTCATCTCTTCAGAGGCTGCAAACAAAGTAGATACTTATACTCACTGGGCACCTCTCTGTTTGTTCTGGCAACTTATCAATGCTAATGTAATACAGAATACAACAAGCAAAGGGAGGAGAGGCTAAAACTCAGTACTTGCTTTGTTTACCAAGCTGCAGACTTCTGTGTTCTCAGGCTATGCTGCTGACACAGAGATCTCTCTGCCCAACCCAGCAGCCTTAGGAGCAGAAGAGACTTTTCTTATTGTACCTATTGAAGATCCTACATATGGGTCTGAATGTGGATCTTGAAATTATATTCTTAAAGTCAGGAAGAAGAGCTTCCCTGATACCTAAGAAAAGGCTGATGATTTCCTTCTAGGCCTGGCTCTTGGACTTTTAAAATGTATCACAATGCAGATTTTTGCAGTCTATATCAGGCACAGCCACAGTCACGTTTTACTGCATGTGAATGACTGAGCCTGTGAACATGAGAGGCCAGCTAGTTCCCCCATGGACCTCATATAACATTGTTAGAAACTGTATGTGCTGACCACAGGTGTGTCAGCACTTAAACTTTAGTTGTATGTATTTACAGTATAAAATGGTTTCCTGAAAGTTATCTTGTTTTTATTGATCATTTGCCAAACAGGAAGTGTTAAAATCTGCTGAGAAAAGGACTGCTTTAAGGCACAAAACCGCATTACTAACTTCAGTGTCAGAACAGTAGTACAAAGGTCAAATGTCACTCCTGAGCTGCAGTAATATGTCAGATTTGTTTTATCTGCTATGATTTACTAGTACTGGGCTTTAAATACCAGTTGCCATGACTGTAGCCACACAGCTTCTCTGATGAATGTATGTTCTGCAGTCAAAAGACTGACATAAATTAAGTATATTCACATGCTTCAGCACCCTCTACCAACTAGATTTGTTATGATTTTCACATACTAGAAGGAAAGACAAACCAATTTCATGATGATAGCTGTAAATCCAGTGCCTTTAGAAAGGAACAGTGAGGAATTCGAGTACAATTAACTTGAGATTCAGCTTTGAACCATGGGGAGACCTACAGGGAAAATAAAATACCCTACAGAGAAAGGTTCATAGTGGATGAAATTTTTGTCACCTGAGGAAGTCTTTAAATGAGCATGCTTTCTAAGCTGTGTACCTGCTGCTCACCTTTACTGGAAGGTAAACTGGGATAATTAAACCTGGATCTGACATTCCCCCATGAAGACTTGCACCAGAATTCATGGCCAGAGAATGGCAACTCCTTGTTTTTTTTTTATTGGTTGTAATTCTGAGTGCTGAAGCTGGGCATGGTGAACAGGGATGTCAGAAGGTAACATCTCTATAGTGATCTTCCAGTGCTTTCTAAAGCTCACAGAAATGCCACTTTTTATAAGCATCCAACCTTGAGGAATTCTTCTATTTTTCCAAGTAATTTTTATTTACAGGTCAATATTGGAATTCAGATATCTGAACATGCATGTATCTTGTGCAAAGAAGACTGTTTCAATTTATTTCTGTTTTGCAATCATGGGTTTAGATAAGAGCTAAACTGTGAGTGATGTTAGCCACTTGATCTACCATGGAAACATCGTCACATACAATATTCAGTCTAAATTTAAGATACACTATCAATACTATTTAGTGCATTATGAAAGGAACAAAATGACTTTTCAGTCACTGGGAGTGTCTCTGTTGTATCATTCTGAAAAAATTGAAATATTATGAGGAAATCTCTGATGTGCAAAAGCCAAATCTAATAATTGAAAAAAATAATTGGACTATACAAAAATGTCAATATTCTGGGATTATCCTGTAGTGCTTCATGGAATAAGGTCTGAAGAACAGTGGAGATGTTTTTAATTCAAAAATTTATTTGGTTGACAGTAAAGTTTAATGGAAAGAGATTTTTTCAGAAATGGAAATTATACTATTACTTACCTATTTTGTTGTACATGATGCCCATGCTTAACTGGAAGCCAATCCTGATTTTCTGATTTTACATTAGTTTACAGAATTGTTTATCCTAAATTAATATTCTGATATAAAAGTGATGGAGTCTCAAACTCCAAAGCTTTTGATAGTAGCACACAATTTTACTTTATCAAATTCTCCTAACCCGTTATGCTGCTGTCTTGGAGGAAATCATGCAGGAGATGAAGTATTCCCCAGTGCAGAACGGAACCATCTTTTTTTCTGTTTGAGGCATCGGTGGCCAGAGAGAAAAGCATGCTCTTTTCAGCCCACTGCTCAATTGTTTCCTCAATCGCAAGAGGAAGCAAAGCAATGCTAGCAATATAGGAAGGCTTTTGTTTTACCAACATGCCTCGCTTCAGCCAAAAGCAAAACTGA